ATTAAAAAAATAAAAGGCATCTGTGGCATTTAACTAAACTTATTCCAGGAGTTGGCAGATAAAGCTAAAGGAAACTTGATACAGTTGTTTGCATGGAAATTTCTTTCACCTCATGCTTCATTTAATTTCTGGCAAAGATTGAACTTTCTGCGCGTAGCTGAGCTTTCCAGTATCTATGAGCAAATGTAATCATGCTTTCATTTCTCTTTTTCTGTCCTTTCCTTTTCTTTCTGGTGCAGGGATAAAGATCCTTTTAAATGAACAGCCTAGTAGGAGCATGGTGCTTTAGAAATAAATAAATTTTAAAAAGGAATCTTGCGTTGAGGGGGTTTATTTTATTTAAATTTTTTTATTTTATTTGAAATGCAGGCTGAAGAAGAGAGAAAGCAGCAGGAACTGGCTGCCATTCAGAAAGCCCAGAAGGAGGCAGAGCTGAAACAAGAGGTGGAGAAGCAGAAAGAAAGCAGGCAGGTGGAAGAAATCCTGCGTCTGGAAAAAGAAATTGAAGACCTGCAGCGTGTGAAGAAGCAGCAGGAGCTGTCCTTGACAGAGGCTTCGTTACAGAGGCTGCAGCAGCTTCGAGATGAGGAGCTCCGGCGGCTCGAGGATGAAGCATGTCGAGCAGCCCAGGAGTTCCTGGAATCTCTGAACTTTGATGAGATTGATGAATGTGTCCGAAACATCGAGAGGTCTCTCTCTGTGGGCAACGGGTATCCTGCTGAGCTGACTGAACAGGCTGGAAATGCCTGCAGTGAAAAGCCCAATTTTAACTTCAGCCAGCCATATCCTGAGGAGGAGGTAGACGAGGGCTTTGAAGCTGATGATGATGCATTTAAGGATTCACCCAACCCGAGTGAGCATGGCCATTCTGATCAAAGGACCAGTGGCATCAGAACAAGCGATGATTCCTCAGAAGAGGATCCTTATATGAACGATACTGTGGTGCCAACAGTTCCTGCTGCTAGCAACACCATGCTCATACCTCCTACCCATGACACAGTCAGTCTCCACAACTCTTCAAGTGGTGAATCCACATACTGCATGCCAGAAAATGTATCGTGTAGACCCCCAAATTCGGTGGAACTTATTTCTCCAGATGGAGACTACGATTACGACCAAGACGATTATGAAGATGGTGCTATTACTTCTGGTAGCAGTGTGACCTTCTCTAATTCGCACAGTAGCCAGTGGTCACCGGACTACCGATGCTCAGTGGGGACATACAATAGCTCTGGAGCGTACCGATTTAGCTCTGAAGGAGCGCAGTCTTCTGTAAGTATCATTGGTTTTATTATCTAATAATCGATAAGTGCTTTCTGCTTATTTATTTTTTTCCCCCACTATGCAGCCGTAGAGTCACTGTGGCTGTTCGTGCAGATGTCTGTGTTGCGTAGCTTGACTTGCTTAGGCTGCGAGTGGGCATAGTTGTCTGTTGCCATCTAGATGCCACTGAGGTGAGTGCATTAGAGGCAGCTCAGATGCTGCTTGCAGTCCTAGGCTTATGCAGGCATATGGTTCCGTCTGTTTTAACGCAGAACCGCATGTTATTTGGCGAGGAGCTCAGCGCGTTGCCTCAGATGCAATTCATAAGCAAATTACTTCCCTTTGTGTATGTTTGGGGTCGAGGTACCAGGTAGCGCGGTGGGGAATTGATTTCAGAAAAAACAGATTCAGTTACGCATGCAATTTGCAACAGTATGGAGGAATAAACTGCTTGCAGAAGTCCCTGAAATGCCAGGTGTATTTTAAGATTACTTGGAGAGTAAATTTCACATGATGGCAAATATTAAAATTATTGAGGCAGGCACTCATACGGAGGAGCTCTTTTTCAATACTGTTTACTGAATATACTCTGGACTTTACTCCTACGAATGTTTTTGGAAGAATATAATTTCCTCTGCCACTCACGGAATACTTCTGTGAGACTGATTGGGAAAGTGAAAAAGTGTTTCAGCAACACTGCTTTATTTAGAAGCAAAACGTTAATAGTAAAATATCTATTACGGTTGAGGTAGTCAAAGAGCCATCATGGTCGGTGGGGTAAGTTGACAGTTCTTGCCTAAGAGGGAAACACTTCTAGCTCTCTCTGTTAAGGACTCCCTCCTTGGATGTGTGTCAGATACGGAGCAGAAATTCTGATTATTTGGGGTGAGGGTGGAGGAAAGCTGTTAGCACAGCTTGTGTGGTTTCTTTATGTTTCTTTCTCAAGACTTCTAAACTCTTACTCACAGCACTTCGGTGTTGGAGGGAGGCAGCACAAGGTAGTACACCTGGGCCATGCTCTTGCAAAGGGATAGCTTTCCTGAGCAGCTACGAAACTGTGTCATAGATGTGTTCCATGACATTAGGGCTAGTGTGTAATCAAACAGTTCAAGCTGCAACTTACTATAATGTTCTCCTTCCTTTGTCAGCTGGACAAAAAACAAGGAATCACGTCCTTCCGATACATCATAAAATGTGTTAGCTGAAGACTTCTAAACCAATTTTATCTAAACTCTTTCCTGAGAGGCCTTTTCACCTTTATTTGCTTTCTTCTGTAGTTTGAAGACAGTGAAGAAGATTTTGACTCCAGGTTTGATACAGATGATGAACTTTCGTACCGGAGGGATTCAGTCTATAGCTGTGTCAGCCTGCCCTACTTTCACAGCTTTCTGTACATGAAAGGTACTGGGCGAATCAGAATTCACTAAATATACAAAATAACCAGAACTGTTTATCTATACCTTGCACTCCAGTTCCTGTAGAGTTAAGCTATTTTCTTATTTTTCAAAGGGTGATGGAAAAGTAACTTACTTGCAGTGGTTTACATCTAGCAGTACTTTTCCCCTCTGCAAAGGAACATTAGCTTTTTGGGATGCCTCTGTTTCGTTTTATATCTTTGCTGGCCTGTAAACAATGGAATATCCAGTATAAATAGGGCAAATTAACTCACAAAGTCAGATTGTCCCAAATTTTGGGGAAAGCTGGTTCCTGCTCCCAAAACCTTGTAATATAGATAGCACTCTACATTCCGGACCAGTTTTGCTGACCTCAGTCGACTTTCGTTTTGAATCTGAAAGACAAGAAGGATACGTGTAGCAGAGGAGTGAGAGACTCTGAAAGAATATACACAGGAGTTCTCTGGTTAAGATTCTTGGGTTTATCTTCTGATGATTGATAGTAAATTATAATCTAGATTAATCCTGCGTGATACTCATCACTGTAGCATAACTCATTTTCCTGGAATAGGAATAGTGATGAATGTGCGCACAGCTGTTTGTGTGAAAAATAATGTAGTCGTCACTAGCATGGCTTTTACTTTCTGACATAGCAATACGTTTTCATGGAATGACAGGATTATATTGGTTTGATCAAGGTTTTTATGTCTGTGATGTAACTACAGTGCAAGGTGGATTGTCTACTATATAGCCACACTTGCATATAACAGAGCTTATGCTGGTGTATTTGCTATTCGTGTAGCTTTTTCAGGTTTTGTGGTCTAGAGTTGGACATTGGTACCCCCTAGTAACTTGGAGAGAGGAAAGAGTTTAACACTAAACTTTCCTTATATTATTATTGAGATACATTGAAAACAGTGTTAAAGATCTGATTCTTATATGCAATAGGACTTTTAAATAATTTATTATTTATTATATATGTGTTATGTATATGTAATTATGTTACATGTATATCTTTGTTATACAGAGATTTATTATAATTTATAATGTAAGAGTCTTCAGATTGCCAGTACTATTGGTGGCCTTAAGGATAAGCAAAAAATGAGATCTTTGGTTTCGTGGCTTACAGCAGAGACTCAGTTTAACTGCAGCATTATTGGTCAGCATCTTCCAGCATTAGTTTGGTCACATCTTCTGTTTTGTAATATAATTGTTTGTCTTAACAGTGTATAAACGCACATCTGTCTCTCTTGCCAGGTGGCTTAATAAACACATGGAAGCGACGCTGGTGTGTCCTGAAAGATGAGACCTTCCTGTGGTTTCGTTCCAAGCAGGAAGCACTTAAGCAGGGTTGGCTTCACAAAAAGGGCGGTGGATCATCTACACTTTCCAGAAGGAACTGGAAGAAACGATGGTTTGTTCTGAGACAGTCCAGGTTGATGTACTTTGAAAATGACAGTGAAGAAAAGCTGAAGGGTGCCATTGATGTCCGAACAGCCAAGTAGGTTTATTTGGTTTTATATGTTAGCCATAGTTCCTCCTCAATACTTCTTGGGGCTTAATCTGGGACAACGTTGAGTGTCCTGCCTTCAAACTGTGTGAATGCAAGCAAGAGAGTGTGTGTGGTGAAGTTACTGAAAGCAAGCGTTGTCCTTACTTGGCTCTCTCTATGAAGTCTATGGAGTGCTCCAGAGCTAAGTCAGTGCCAAATACTTCAGAAAACTGCTGCTATAATGAACCCATCTATGCTTTCTCCCAGACTAGAGGCCTTATTTAGTCTGTAATGATTCCCAAGGAAGTTTGGGGCATGTTGCCAAGTCTGTAGCTGCAGGCAAACTTAGAATGAAGAGGGTGGAATTAATAGGCCCTGAATATATTTAAGTTAGCATGGGCCAAAGATGTATATTCTGCATGCATTTATGATTTTATTCGTGTTTGAAATAATTGTGGTAGTAGTAGAAAAGTCTTTAAAATGCATATATTCATTTTAAAACAAATAGAATCACTAAACCTAACTTAATAACTTATGTCTTGCTAACTAAGGTTCCTTATGCCTTAAAATTCTATGCTTCCTGAAGCATGCATCAAAAAAGTTTTCTAAGGGATGGTATTTTACCTTCTAAACAGTCAGTACGCTTTATGAACTTATAGATTATCTAGCTAATTTAAAAATTAGAGTGTGCTAACATTGGTAGTCTCATTTCTGTATAAAAGAGTACCTAAACTTTCTTCAAAGGTAGAGAAAAACAGAAGTGACTGTAACACTTGGTTCCATCCTGCTCCTTGTAATCTGCAACTAGCCATTTTATTTTGTTAATTTAACAGAGTACTTAAGCTAAATTGAAAGCTTAGATTAATCTTTTCTTTGGAAGTCCAGTCTTAAGCCTAATTTCAAGCAGGACAAAATAAATGGTTTTAGTGAGCATCCTGACTTGCTCTTGTAAAACCAATGGGCGGCTGGCTGTCAAGTAAATCTCTGAATAGAGTGAAGTTCCTACCACAGTTTTTTTTTATTAAACTGAATTTGAGACTGTCTCATGTACCATAGCATTTATTTAGCATATTTTTCTAATATGTTTAAACCTTCTTTTTTTGTTGTCACCACATCGTTTCATTGACTGTGCCATACAGAAGTTCTTTGCTGAACGTAGCTTTAAAATTGTGAGGTAAAGGTTGTTGAACCTAACTTGAACTGTAGCTTCAATCAATGACTATTTGGGTATAAAATAGCTACAAGAAAGGATAAAGAAGGCCAATGGGATACTGGCATGTATCA